ATGGCCGACCAGTACAAGGTCGTGGATGGGCTCGGCCGAGGTCTTGCGCACGTTCGAACGGATGCAACTGAAGGAGCACGAGCGCAAGACCGAGACGCCAACGCCGCAGCCAGTGCCCGAGCCGCCGACGCCACGGCCGGTCCCCAAGGCGCCAACGCCGCAGCCGCTGCCCGCGCCCAAGGAAGGTGCGCCACTGACGCCACCTGAAGCTGGCGACCCGGAGTGGGCGGTCACGTTACGGTCGATTAGCCGTGCTCTGGAAGGACTCGTGGCCCGAGCCGAGAACCCCCCACCCGTCCACATGACCACGAGCCCGACAAGCCCCAAGTCCAGCCTTGCAGCCTTTCGTCTCTCGAAAGTGCCGACGTTCATCCACAAGGAAGACGACAAACTCGCCCCTGCCGTTCACGTCCGGAACGTCGAGGGCATGGCTCTCCACGGTGACGGGTCAGTCGCCATGCGCGTGACGATGTTCATCGACACACTCGGCTCGAAAGAAAGTACGTGGGTGTACCACTTCATGAACACGAAGAAGTTCGTCCCAGCGACGATGACTGAGAGGAACTGGGGCACGCTCGTCGACGCTTTCTACACGGAGTACATCGGTGACAAGACGTACCGCGAGTCCGCGTACGAGAAGGTCACGCAGGAGGACGGCGAGCGCTTCACCGAGTACGTCATGCGGGTGGCGCTGTGGGCCGCCGTGGCCGGCCAACAAACGGACGAAGAGCGCAAGATCCGGATCGTGGTACAAGGCGTGGTCGACCGACAGCTCCACGCTGCACTGTGGCAGATCAGCGAGGACTCGTTGTCGTGGGACGAGTTCGATGACAAGGCCAAGCGGCTGATGGCGTCGGCCGACGCGCATGCACGAAAGACCAAGAATAGGTGGTCCAAGGCGTATCGCGTCGCCCAGGCGACCGTACCGACCGATGTGAACCTCCAGGTCAGCGCTGCGCGGACTGGTCGGCCGCCGTTGCACGGTAACCTGATGCCGGCGGCGACACCCGCGCCATCGCTCGCGCCCGCGACGCCCACGCCGGCCACTCCCGGTCGCTCGGGGCAGGGCTGTCACGTGTGCGGCGAACCCGGACATTACCGCCAAGACTGCCCGCAAGCCCAGCACCTCGCGTCGTGTGATTTTCACGGGGCGCACATTGGACACACGTCGGATGATTGCTACGTCCTCAAGAACGCGCGTCGATATGCCGAGGCCATGATGCGGGACCAGACGGCGCAGCCCACGGACGACACGGCCGGCATGTCACCCCCGGAAGCCACTACCCCGACGCCGACGCCGGTTTTTTCGGGAAGACCACGCCTAAGAGCGAAGGTAGCGGTCAAGAAGGATACGGGAGCTCACGACCAGCCAGTGGCCAGCACGACCACCAGTGACGTCGAAAAGAAAGTAATGTTGAGCCCCACGCGTATGCGACCAACCGTTCTCCACGACACAGCAGAAGGAGGGAACGGACGGACGCAAGGGCGAGGGGCGCAAGGGGCGAGCGAGCCGCTCAACCCAATGGGAGCAGAAGATGCGTGGGTGAACGACAACGTCACCACGCAGCAACACGACAGAAGACAGTCCTCGGACGCGGCGCTAGCCCCAGCGCGTGACGAGGACGACGAAGGAAGAAACCCGTCCACGGATACGGCGCTTGCTACAGCGCGTGACGAGGACGACGAAGGGAGAAACTCGCCCAAGGATGCGGCGCTTGACACAGCGCGTGACGAGGGCGACGAAGGGCGCACACCACTCTCGGAAACACGGTCCGAGGCGTGCAGCGAAGAAGAGCCAACCCCGGTCGAGGTGCCGGTCGCGGCGAGCCGGGAGGACGACACCGTCTCGGCGTCGGAGGACCCGGAATGGGTCCCAACCCAGTGGGCCGGAGATGACATCCTCCAGACGCTCGCCACCGTACTCGCACCGGAAGAGATCGACAACGTGGGCGACGTCCAAGAGGTCGGCGACAAGGGTACTGTGGACACGATGGGTCGGCGGCCCGGACGCGCCGTCATCGCGTACCCGGATTGGTCGGCGGTGGGACGCGACGCCGGGAAGTGGCAGCACCATTATCGACGATGGCGCGCAGCAGATGTCGAGTCCGGTGCGCCGACGGTCCATACGATTGCGCCCG